GGCTTGTTATTGCCTCACGACCCTGCTCACAATACTGATTCAAATAAGAAAGCACACACACACACACACACATGCAGTAGCAAGACCCCCATGGGGTTCCAGGCACTCCCCCAGGGTCTGCGTTCCTTTGGAGAACTGAGACATGGTGGAGACTTGTCGTAGCATTAAGAAATATGGTTTATTCACCTATTTACACCTTCAGTTTGCATGTAGGGAGTCCTGCCCCAGAGTCCAAGGCATCTTGCCCAAGACAGCCTGCCCAAGATGGATCCCAGATGGTTTCATTTCCCCATCTTCTTCCCAGCACACCTCTCTAAAAGACTTTCTTTTCCTGTCACCTTGCACCCAGTTACCCTGGCAACCTTCCAAATACCCAGTCTTTGCTCACATCTCAAGGCAATGGGGAAAGGGGTGGGTGGGAAGCATAGTTACCTTGTATTGCCAATGGCCCTCAATGGCCCTGTATTGTTTCATAACTGGCCTAGCTAGACAGCATCTTAAAAAGCAGAGACATCACCTTGCCAACAAAGGTCCGTATAGTTAAAGCTATGGTTTTCCCAGTATGAAAGTGAGAGCAGGACCATAAAGAAGGCTGATCGCTGAAAAATTGATGCTTTTGAATTCTGGTGCTGGAGGAGACTCTTGAGAGTCCCATGGACTGCAAGAAGATCAAACCTCTCCATTCTGAAGGAAATCAGCCCTGAGTGCTCACTGGAAGGACAGATCCTGAAGCTGAGGTTCCAATACTTTGGCCACCTCATGAGAAGAGAAGACTCCTTGGAAAAGACCCTGATGTTGGGAAAGATGGAGGGAGAAGGGGAGAAGGGGACGACAGAGGACGAGATGGTTGGACAGTGTTCTCAAGGCTACCAGAATGAGTTTGACCAAACTGAGTGAGGCGGTGGAGGACGGGGTGCCTGGCATGCTCTGGTCCATGGGGACATGAAGAGTCGGACACGACTAAACGACTAAACAACAACAAGCTTGGCCAGGTCGTTTTGCCTAAGCTATCTCACAAATTCCTCCTTAAATTTGGTCCGTTTGCCTTTAAATGCGATATAATTTCTCCCCCATCCGTACCCAAGGCCCATCAAGGCACAAATGAAACAGGAGAGAATGTTATTATTAATTTAATTTATAGACCGTCCTGTACCCGCAGGACACAAAACTTCCAAACGGATCTCAAATTGATCAGGGGATGGAAAGGAGATTTATAGGTAGCTTCTTCCATAAATAGGATTTCTGCTTCCACCGGGATTTAACATTCCTTTAAATGTGAGGAGGTGGGGTATTTGCTGCATCAACAAGGAAAGAGCAGATCTCTGCTTTCAGAGTTCAAGCTGTATACACACCCTCCTTTCTTTCTTCTTTAATTATTTGCTGTTGCCTTCCACCCTCTTTGAAATCAACATGTTATAATTACGGTTGAGAGCACTCAGGACAAACAAATCTAAATTTAAACTCCAGAGAAGGTCTGTAGGTTGATGTATTAATTGGATCAGACGTCAGCCCAGCTGGTACTTCAAAAGTTTCCCTTTTGAAATGTACAGGGAAGATGGTCACCTGACAAGGGTGCAATTTCAAAACGCCGCATCTCCCCCTCAATCAGAATCCTAGCCTCTAATTCTTTTGCTTAGTAATCCCAAATTCTGTCTAGCAAGAGCTGCAGTTTGAACCTTTAGAAACTGCCACCCTAATCCAGCCCTACAGTCTGTTGCGCAGTGGCAACAGGAGCTGGATACTAATGAGAAGGTGAAATTATAATTGGAGGGAAACAAAATATGAAGTCTCCCAGTTTTAAAAGCTGGATCCCATTATTTATATTTGGGCTCTAGATGGACCAGTGGTCTAACTCCGTATTTGATGGTGCCTTATGGTGGTTTCTTCTGGAGCAACGAAAGCAAAAACTCCCTTGCCTGGGCTCCTCCTATCATGAGTCTGACGCTCATGGGACAGGTCAAAGGCCAATCTTAGTCCAGCATCCTGGCAGGATGTTGTCAGCGGCTCCCGGCTGGTTGCCCAGGAAAGTATAAAGACAAGGGAAAGTTTCTTACAGTCCTTCTTTATTTCAAATTTTACAGAGAGAGGCTACAGAACCCAGGATGATGGTGTTGTCCCAAGTGAATCTCCACCCCCCTTCTCTCTCACTTCCTCATTTGTCATCATCATCTCCTCTATGGGTGCTGCCCGCTGTCTTTGAGCTCTTTGCTCTCCTACTTTTAAGGCTTGCTGGGTTCTGGGAGATAGTGGGTCTGGAATGCTTTCTAGTGACGTCATTATGTCATGGCACTCAGCACTTGCTCTGGGGACTTTCACTGCTGCTCTGGCTCTGCCTGCTCCTCCTCTCCCATTATTTCCCAACCACTGTTGTAAATCTATACTGTCTTCCTCTTCTCTGGAAGGATTAAGATGGGGAGACACAAGCCAAACCAGGTAAGGGAGCCATTGGGTCTCAAAACCCTTGGTGAGTTAGGGACAATGCATGCAAAAGACAGGCTCTGGCGCATTGAGTAAACGAGACCAAGAGTGGGTCCAACAGTCAAGAAGGTGGTTTCTGCACATGCGGTAGAGGCAAGTGAGGGGCAGATGGGGTTCATCAACTTGGGAAGGTGGCCCATCTAGGAGAAGGAAAGCTCTGATCCTAAACTCCCGCTGCCTTTCCAGACATCTTTAGGAGAAGAAAAGGCTAAGGAGTTGGGTGGCACCCTGCCCTCCTACCCCAGCCCCATCTCTACATCTCACAGGAACTTTCCTACTGCCTCTTTTCTCCCAAATTCCAATAATCCTGAAGTTCAGAAGCCTGCAACACTTTCCTTGTGAGGCTTACCCAGCTCCCCTGAATGCAAGCTATTAGAACATAAAGAAATAATGCATGATGAGATCATTATATAATTTGGTGGGTCATTTTAGGGACCCTAGGGAAGCTACAAAAAAATTAAATACAGTTGTCAGGGTGGTGTCAGTGGCTTTCCGGCTGGTTGCCCAAGAAGGTGTAAAGACAAGGGAAAGTTTCTTACAGTCCTTTTTTACTTCAAACCTTATAGAGAGAGGCTATAGAACCCAGCCTCTTGGTTGATGGTGTTGTCCCAAGTGAATCTCCATTCTCCGTCTCTCCCACTTCCTCATTCATCATCATCATCATCTCCTCTATGGGGGCCGCCCTCTGTCTTAGAATCATAGAATCATAGAATCATAGAATCATAGAATCATAGAGTTGGAAGAGACCACAAGGGCCATCGAGTCCAACCCCCTGCCAAGCAGGAAATACCATCAGAGCACTCCTGACATATGGTTGTCAAGCCTCTGCTTAAAGACCTCCAAAGAAGGAGACTCCACCACACTCCTTGGCAGCAAATTCCACTGTCGAACAGCTCTTACTGTCAGGAAGTTCTTCCTAATGTTTAGGTGGAATCTTCTTTCTTGTAGTTTGGATCCATTGCTCCGTGTCCGCTTCTCTGGAGCAGCAGAAAACAACCTTTCTCCCTCCTCTATGTGACATCCTTTTATATATTTGAACATGGCTATCATATCACCCCTTAACCTCCTCTTCTCCAGGCTAAACATGCCCAGCTCCCTTAGCCGTTCCTCATAAGGCATCATTTCCAGGCCTTTGACCATTTTGGTTGCCCTCCTCTGGACACGTTCCAGTTTGTCTTAGAGCTCTTTGCTCTCCTACTTTTAAGGCTCGCTGGGTTCTGGGAGATGGAGGGTCTGGAATGCTTTCTAGTGACAACGTGTCAGTCAGCTGCTGCTCTGGCTCTGCCTACTCCTCCTCTTCCATTATTTCCCAACTTTCCCCCTCATCTGCCTCTGAGCTGTGACCTCTGGCAAACCACTGTTGTAAATCTATACTGTCTTCCTCTTCTCTGGAAGGGTCAAGATGAGGAGGCGGTCTCCACCATTTCTCCTCCTCTGCCCATCCCCTGACTTTACCCCCTTCTCCAGTGTCCTCCTCTTTTGCCCAGTCCCTGACACATTCAGTTCTCGCCATGGGCCATCAGATGCCAACGAAACATCAGCAAACAGGACACAAGAACAATAGCGCCATGCCACTTGTGTTCCCCAGCAGCACCAACTTCAGCTCCAGACTGTAGGCTCCCCAGAGCAAGTGCTTTTTTAAAAAATATATATATATTTATTAAAATTTCAGAGAAAAAAAGAATTACAGAAAAACAAAAAGTAAAAATACAAGAAAAATACAAAATACAAAATACAGAATAAAAGAATAAAAGACACTTAAAAAGAGAAAAAAGAAAAATGGGTCAATCTTTCCATAGCTTACATTCATATCCTTGTTTCCCTGACCTCCTCATACCTCCCTTTTTTGTATTCCAGTTCAATTAGTTAAGTCAGCAATTTCTTTCCCTCTTTGTTTTCTCATGATCCTTTAACTTAATATACTATAACTTTAAATTTTCATCTATTAACAATCCTTTTTTACATACACCTTTATAGCATTACTGCTTAAACCACCTAACTTCATTCCAACATAATTCTAACATTCATTAATTTTGCAATATTTCTGTAAATAATCTTTAAATTTCTTGCAATCTTCTTCCACCGACTCTTCTCCCTGGTCTCGGATTCTGCCAGTCATTTCCGCCAATTCCATGTAGTCCATCACCTTCATCTGCCATTCTTCCAGAGTGGGTAGGTCTTGTGTCTTCCAATACTTTGCAATAAGTATTCTTGCTGCTGTTGTGGCATACATGAAGAAAGTTCTGTCCTTCTTTGGCACCATTTGGCCGACCATGCCCAGGAGAAAGGCCTCTGGTTTCTTCAGAAAGGTATATTTAAATACCCTTTTCATTTCATTGTAAATCATCTCCCAGAAAGCCTTAATCCTTGGGCACGTCCACCAAAGGTGAAAGTCCCCAGAGCAAGTGCTGAGTGCCATGACATAATAACGTCACATCATGTTGTGACATTATGACGGCATGGCGCAGCGTGTTCAAGCACTCTGGCAACTGGCTGGGGCCTGTGCATCCACCGTGGGGTCTCTGTTGGGGCCCATGCAGTCACAGGCGCATCCCAGAAGCATATCTGCAGCCACAGTGGGCCTAAACAGAGACCCCATGGTGGAGATGCAGCCCCAGCCCAGTTATCACTGTGGCGCCGGAATGCCAAAGGTAAGGAAGCGTCCAGCAGTAGCAGTACATGGCGCATGGCAGCAGTGGGGGGCGGTGGAGCTTGGGCACCCACAGCAAAAAAAGTTCTGGGTGCCTGGGCCCCCAGGGGCCCCTGGAGTTGGTGCCAGTGTTCCCCAACAACTTTTGCAAAATGTTAACTGAGAAAGAGATTTGCATGCAAAGCAGTCTACACCACAGTGGCTGCAGAGGTGGTTGTACTGCCGCATTCCACTCAAAATTCCAGAGGATTGTGATGTTGTTCACATTTAGCATCCTCTCATTAGCCGCATTTTTAACTGCCAATGTACGTTATTTGACGATATGGATAGTATTACCAGATTCAGATCAGGGTTGTCAAACTGAACGGAATGGATATGCTGATAAAGTGATGCCTAGGAGCAGAGAGCTTCTCATCGAGACTAGATGATTAGATGCTATCTGTCAAATACAATCAAAATTCCCAGCTAAATTGTTTTTTTCCCCTTCTTTCAAAAATGATTATCCCCAGATAACCTTCTCCAGCTTTACAATTTGCATAAGAGTTTTAATTTCCACAACTTTCCCCCTTGCATCTCTTTGCTTCATTCAAGCTCACAGCTACAAGACTTCTTCATGGAGATTAAGGCAGAACAACTTCCAGGTTCCCACCAACAACTTACAATCAAGTACATGGGAGCACAGACAGAACTCAAACCTAACTGGCACTAACCCAACAGCCAGCTCATGTTGTTTGACATGAATCAGTTTGGTCACTGCTCCTTGTAAGTGACATAGTCTGGAAGTTCTCAGACTGTGTAGAACTGGAGGTCATTTCTTGAGGACCAAGATCTGTTTTAGGAAAGTTGATTCTGAGACTAAGCAGGTCTGAATCTGGTCAGCAACTGAATGAGAGACTAGCAAAGAACGTTCTGTGTTCCACCTCAGCTTCCATCCTAGAATAAAGGTCGGATGTAAATAAAATATCAGTAACTTATGCGCAGAAACATAAGCATCTTGCTGGGAATTGTGTAAATATCTGTAGGGATCTCTCTCTCTCTCTCTCTCTCTCTCTCTCTCTCTCTCTCTCTCACACACACACACACACACACACACACATTAATGAATATTTTATTATTTTTCCATATTGGAAAAACATTTGTTACTCAACAGTTATAGTCCAGTTCAACAAAACTAGTGACTTCCTGCTTACCAAACATCAATGCTTATAACCCAAATTACATACAATTGCACTTTAAGGTTCCATTTCATCCAATTTCATCCTCTTTAACATGTTTCTTAATATAGTTTGCTATTTTCTTAAACTGCAAAGCCTTTATCGACTGACAAAAGGTTTGTTTTGCTCTTTGTATCCCAATGCTGCTGCTTCTTGAGGAAATGTAGGGGTCTGTTGTGGAATCTCTAAACCCACCCCCCTAACTCAGGCATAGGCAAACTCAGCCCTCCAGATGTTTTGGGACTACAGTTACCATAATCCTTGACCACTGGTCCTCTTAGCTAGGGATCATGGGAGTTGTAGTTCCAAAACATCTGGAGGGCCGAGTTTGCCTATGCCTGCCCTAACTATTCAATTCTTAGACAAATCATGCCCCCTACCCCTGGCTGGCACTTTCGGTTTCTCTCCCTCCCCCAAGTCTGGGGCAGGCAGCAAAAGCAGGAGAGCTCCCAAGGCCTTGCTGGTCCTTCATACAAGGTGTGATGAACTGCATTCGGCTTAGCAGATCTTGAGTTTTTACAAGCCTACCTTACTACCGTGCAACCTCAAAGAGGTTGAGATAAACAAATAAAACAAAATGCGAGCTGCAAAAATCAGGTTTAAACATTTCTTTGGCACAGCTGCTGGTGTGTAAACCCTCCTTCCCTTCCCAGTTTACGCACACAGTGAGTCACTCCATCATCACAGCATCTGGGCTACATATCCTAAGTATATATACAGAGATCATGTCTAATTACAGGTGATTTGCCCAGGTTGGCTCCTCAGTGGGGACTGTCGTCTTCAGGTACATGAATGTGACTTGTGGACTAATTGGAATTTACATTGTGTGGCCATTTGCTGCCATTTGCCTCAACAATGACTTCCAGCCTTCCTAATTAACTAGCTAGCGCATTTAACATTTGGCACTTTTCTCAAGCAGAAACTAACAAGATCGGAGCGAGCTTATTATGTTGTCAATGTGTCAGTTCTCAGCAATTTGAATCCCTCCCCCCTTTGATTTGTCCTCCATTCATATGATGTAAAATGACTTCGTTCTCCATCTCTCCTACTGTTATTTCGAACAACAAAGTGGACAAGGGCAAAATGTTTGTGTCCTGAATAAAATGTGACCGCCCTTTGTCTCCCACTAACGCAAATAGTGCTTATTAGAAGCCATTTGCTCACACAGCGCAATTTCTCTCTATTGGTTTTTATTCTGTGTTTATTTCAAACACACACACACAACCAGAATTCTCACATAAGTAGCTTTGTATATTTATGGCTTACTATCTGCCGAGTTTTGTTATTCCTTTTGTACATGGCTATGAAGCTGTGCTCCCTTGCGATTGACAGGTTATTTCTCTAGCAGAACTGTGGCAGCACACACAAGGAATTATCAAACCAATCTTCCACAAGAAGAAGAAGATGAGTTTGGATTTGATATCCTGCTTTATCACTACCCTAAGTAGTCTCAAAGCGGCTAACAATCTCATTTGCCTTCCTCCCCCACAACAAACATTCTGTGAGGTGAGTGGGGCTGAGAGACTTCAAAGAAGTGTGACTAGCCCAAGGTCACCCAGCAGCTGCATGTAGAGGAGCAGGGAAGTGAACCTGGTTCACCAGTTTACGAGTCTACCGCTCTTAACCACTACACCACACTGGCTCTCACAAGCAGTTTGGAGTACTGGCATCTTGGTTCTGTTATCCCAATGATGCTGGTCTGCTACCAAATTTATGACTCTGTAGGAACATGGGGACCAGGGATGGCCCGTCCATGAGGCAGACTCAGGTGGCAGAATCCAATGGGTGCTTACGCCAACATGCCCGCCTCCTTGCCAACACTGCCAGAGAAGTGAGGAGAAGCAGATGTGGTTCTGGTGAGAACTCGCAAGATCTTCCAGGTTCTGGTGCAATCTCGCGAGAGCTCCATAAGATCCCCATTAAATCACAATAAGGTCTCTGGAGGCTGCAGCCATGTGACCCCAGTAAGCAAGACTTCTGCATGGGTGGTAAGGGGTGTTGGGTGGCATGTGGTGTGTGGTGTGTGTGCGGGGCTACACCTTCCAGTTTTCCCTTGGATGGCAAAATAGAATGGACTGCCCCTGATGGGGACAGAAGAGCCCTGCTGTCAGGGACTGGGCAGAGGAGGAATGGTGGAGACCACCTCCCCATCTTGACCCTTCCAGAGAAGAAGACAGTTCAGCATTACAACAGGGGTTTGAGGGAGGTCACAGCTCAGAGGCAGATGAGGGGAAAAGCGAGGCAGTGGAAGACAGGAGTGCCTGGCGTGCTCTGGTTCATGGGGTCACGAACAGTCGGACACGACTAAACAACTAAACAACAACAACAATAGGAGAGGAGGAGGAGTAGGCAGAGCTGGAGCAGCTGGCTGACACGTTATCACTAGAAAGCATTCCAGACCCACCATCTCCCAGAATCCAGAGAGCCTTAAAAGTAGGAGAGCAAAATGCTCAGAAGCAAAGGGCCCTCAGCGGCACCTGTAGAAGGGATGACCAATGAGGAAGTGGGAGAGAAGGGGAGTGAAGATTTACTCGGGACAATGCCATTGTTCCAAGAGGATGCATTCCTAAGCTTCTCTCTTTGAATAGTGAATAAAAGCAGATGGTAAGGGTTTTTCCTTGTCTTATTTGTTCCTGGCAACCTGCCATGGTAGGGTGGGGTGGATCCTCTGCCGCCTGACACCTGCTGGATCAATCAGGGGCCTCTGTGATGCCCACAAACAGAACCCAAGTGTAACAGAACTCTGCCCACCTGTGATACGCAGCTACTTGCATCCAGAAGCATACTGACAGGAGCGAGCTAGCAATCAATCAATCAATCACATGAAGTATGTGAAGTTAACGTTAATGGAAAAAACAACAACTCAGGATTTCCTTGGCATGTCAGGCCCAATGAGCACAGCAACTCTTCTTCAGTAGGTCTTGCCCCATGAAGTAGTCGCAGAGATGGAAAGTCCCCAAAGTCTCCCCAAAGCTGCCTATGTCCCCTTCTCTCAAGGGTTTCCCTCAAGCAATCAGAGACTGCACCTGCATGAAGCTAACTTCTCCTCCACACTTTTCATGCCTCTCCTGGTTCTGGTAGACCAGCGGGGACGGGACCTTGTCGCAGCAGGAGAGAGAGACATCCATGACTCTTCACCAGCCTAAGTCATCTCTGCCTCTTGGCCTCCCACATCCCGCTCTTCTGCTTCTGAACTTCTCTCTGCTATAGACTGCCCCAGCTTCCAACACCTCCTCCTCCTTCCAATCTTCTTCCTCTTAGTCGTCCCACCACCAATCTCTGGGCTCTGAGCCTTCTTCCCTTGGTGGTTCCCCAGCTGGTTCCTCCTACCATTCATCTGCATCCAACCAGTCCATGACACATACTGCCTCCAACAATGGAGATGGAACATTCTAATACATACAGTAGCATTGAATCTTTTGATGTATCTCTTGTGGGTTGAATCAGGCAATGGATTTTTAATCACACTATCTGTGCGAACTGTCTTACCAATGCAGACTGTCGGTGTTGTCAGCTAATGTTTTGGTGAATAGCCGCTATTAATAAGGCAGTTAGCACTGTTCTTTTCTGCATTTCCCTGTCTTCTGCACCATAAAAGGAAGGACCTGTTCTTTTCCAGGGTGCAGTGGTACAAAACTAAAATGGATCCAAGGCCCAGTTCTTTCTGGAACCTCATAATTGCTGCTAACATCTAAATCTTGACTGATTGGAACTGCGTCTAGTCTGTTGATGCGTCTCCACTTTGGAGTGCCTTATCCCAGTTGACTCCCTCCTCATTGACATTTTGTACAAACATGAATATTTTTTATTTTTATCATTATTATTCCATCGTGGTTTTTGCCCATGGAATTATTGATTCTCTTTGTTTGATGCCTTGGCATTATTTAGCTTTATAACGGGCTGCCTCCTGGGTCTCTTGTTTCTTTGCGTTCAAACTGATGTGCTGTTTTCGATTCTTTCATTTGATCATGTTGCAAGTCATCATGAGCATTGGGAGGGAGAGGTACTATATGAATATTTTTATTTTTAAAAAAATATTCTATCCTTGATATAATTTGCTGTGATACTGCATCCGTGGTCTTGAAGGAGATTGAAATTTAGAGGGAATAGGATGCTGCAACGGGGATGATGTGGGGAGCAGTTTTCAAATCGCTTGCTTCAGCTGACAAAGAGCTGCATCACATCAGCAGTTGCAACAACACAAGCAATTCTGGGGTGCACTTCAGAAAGAGGTGGAAGAAGCCAATGGGCATGGCAAGAGATGGGATAGCTCAGTCATTAGAGCATGAGACTCTTAAGGCAAATTAAGGCCCGGGGGCCGGATCCGGCCCAATCGCCTTCTAAATCTGGCCCGCGGATGGTCCAGGAATCAGCGTGCTTTTACATAAGTAGAATGTGTCCTTTGCATCTCTGGGTTATTTGTGGGGCATAGGAATTCGTTCGTTTCCCCCCCAAAATATAGTCTGATCCCCCCCCCCAGGTCACGGGGAGAAGAGGGAGAAGACTGGAGAAAGGAGGTGCTGGGAGCTGGAGGGATAACAGGGCTTAGTGAGTGGGGAGAGTCTGCGGCAGAGAGAAGTTCAGAATCAGAGGCAAAAACTGAAGCATGAGAGTTGGATAAGGGAGGCCAAGAGGCAGAGATGAGTCAGGCTCATGAAGAAAAAGAAGAAGAAGAAGAAGAAGAAGAAGAAGAAGAAGAAGAAGAAGAAGAGGAGGAGGAGGAGGAGGAGGAGTCTGGATTTGCTATTCCACTTTATCACTACCCGAAGGAGTCTAAAAGCGGCTCACAATCCCCTTTCCCTTCCTCCCCCACAACAAACACTCTGTGAGAGACTTCAGAGAAGTGTGACTAGCCCAAGGTCACCCAGTAGCTGCATGTGAAGGAGCGGGGATGCAAACCCGGTTCATCAGATTACAAGTCTACCGCTCCGAACCACTACATCACACTGGCTCTCGAGTGATGGCTCTCCCCCTCCTGCTGTGCCAGACAGGAGATAAACAACAACAGGAGAAAAACAATATTCAAATTTCTGTTTTAGACTGCCTTTTCTGTGATGTAGGTGTGATGTATCTGAGGGGTGGTCTTAGGTTACACCCCTTCTGTGATGTATGTATGATGTTTCTGGGGGTGGTCTTGATCTACAGGGTGGCAATTTCAGAAGTCTTTATAAGGCCTTGCACGCCATTTTTCTGGGTCCTGCTCCCCTCCTGCCGGTGAGGGGAGCACCCTGTTGCAACAGATCAATAAAGATCAAGCTTACTAGCTGCTTTGCTTCTCAATATTCTCTGGTTGGCCTCTGTTATTCTCTCCTACCAATAGGGAACCTATGTAAGGACTCTATATGGGCTCTTGGATACCCCATAAGGGAAAAGGGCAGTTTTTGTTTAAAACACTTTTGGTCCTGGTAACTGATTTCTGTGGAGGAAGATTACGGGGAGTGAATTTCTCTGCTCATTAGGCCTGACACTCCATCAAGTCTGTGGAGATTGTGTTTTTGCCACTAAAGAGTTAACTCTATCTTTGAACTGTGCGATTCCTGACCGACATGCTCTTGTGACATGTGCACATTCTCCCTGTGCAGAGTGAAAGCATTAAGTAAGCAATTTTATGCTGCCTTTTGCCAGCAGCAGCTAAGCAACAAAGAGCTTTGCAGTGTGATCCAGTCCAGGCCTCCTTGGAAGTTACTCCCAAATGGGACTTGTTTCCAAGCTGGTCTGTATAGGGCTGTAGCCTTTGTGTGCTCTTTCTTCTGGGTTAGATAAAGCACGACGTTTGATTACTGACAACAAGCAACACAATAGCTTATCAAATAGGATCATAGTAGCCTGGGCCCAGGAGCTCCCATCTCATCTCATTTCAGTCAATGTTGTGCATGCTGTTAAAGCATTTAACAATGCCTGCAGCATTGATCAATGTCACTCTTGCAAAGAAACGTTCATGCTGCCGATTGGAAAGTAAATGGGAAACTTCATCAGATGTGGCAGCAATTAGGGTCTATAAAATTAATTCTGGGAATTTTGCCGGAATTATAGTCAACCCCCTTGCTGTTCTTTATTTTCCAGCAATTTTGCAGTGCAGTTTAAATTCAGTTGAACAGCCGTCTCCACAAACCAGTCCAAATGATGTCCTCAGGTTTAAACAGACTTAGGAGGAGGCCGTCCTGAGCCTCAGTGAACTTCTGAGTAGAAAGATATAAGATTGCATTGATAGTCCTTTGGGGCCCCTGGCAATGCATGAGTTTGGACTTATGCTTAAGTGGATTGTGTCCCATCAAGCTTCTAGAACAGCGGTTCTCAACCTGTGGGTCCCCAGATGCTGTTGCACTACAACGCCCATCATCCCTGATACCTGGCCTTGCTAGCTAGGAGTGATGGGAGTTGTAGTCCAACAACATCTGGGGACCCACAGGTTGAGAACCGTTGTTCTAGAAGTAGCCATCTGTCTTGGTTTCATTTTCTACAATGGAGAACCTTCTTCATGAGGAAAGTATCACACCTGTCATGTATTATCTAGTTAAGATTCTTGCATTGCAGGGGTTCATAGAATCATAGAGTTGGAGGTTACCCCCTGCAATGCAGGAATCTCAGCTAAAGCATCCATGACAGGTGGCCATCCAACCTCTGCGTAAAAACACCCAAGGAAGGAAAGCCCACAACCTCATGAAGGAGTCTGTTCCACTGTGGAACCGCTCTGACTGCCAACAAGTTCTCCCTGATGTTTAGGCAATCTACCTACTTGTAACTCGAAGTCATTGGTTCAAGACCTACCCTCCAGAGTGGGAGAAAACAAGCTTGCTCCATCTTCTATGTGACAGCCCTTGAGATATTTGAAGGTGGCTATCATATTTCCTCTCAGTTTCCTCTTTTCCAGGCTAAACATACCCAGCTCCTCCAACCGTTCCTTAGAAGGCTTCGTTTCCAGATCCCTGATCACCTTGGTCACCCTCCTCTGCACACGCTCCAACTTGTCAAAATCCTTCTTAAATTGTGGCACCCAGAACTGGACACAGTATTCCAGATGTGGTTTTACCAATGGAATATACTTGGAGTCCTGTAGTGATTTCATGCTCTTTATTGCATTGTGAAACAGTGATTGAATTGCCCCCCAAGCCTCAGGCTTTTATATACATTATTTACACAATGAGTCCCGTCTGATTGGCTGATTCTGCTTCCTTCCTGGAGCCTGATTGGTCGTTTCCTGCAGCCAATCAGTTGTTGCATTCTACGATCCTACCAGCCTAATAGGCTGATTAACTTCCTCCTGGAGCCTGATTGGTCTTTTCCTGCAAGCCAATCAGTTGCTGCATTCTAGGATCCTACTTGCCTATTGTTCTAAGATCCAAGCTTAGCACATAACAACCAAGACAGAATAGAGCGAGGCTATGACTTCCTTTGATCAGGACATTATACTTCTGTTGATGCAGCCTACAATAGCATTAGCTGTCATCACTTCTTGAAAGTTTCTTCAAACAGAGAAAACATAGGAACCTGTCTTACACCAAGCTAAGTCCAAGCTGGTCCATCTAACTCAGTATTCTCCAGTCTGACTGGCAGTGGTTCACAAGAGTTTCAGGCAGGAGTCCTTCCCAGCCGTACCTGGAAATGCCAGGATTGATCCTGGGACCTTCTGCATGCAAAAGAGTTGCTAATCCACTAAGCCACACTCCTTCTACATCTCTTATACTGTGATACCTCAGGTTAAGTACTTAATTCCTTCCGGAGGTCTGTTCTTAACCTGAAGCACCACTTTAGCTAATGGTGCCTCCTGCTGCTGCCGCGCTGCCGGAACACGAATTCTGTTCTTATCCTGAAGCAAAGTTCTTAACCTGAAGCACTATTTCTGGGTTAGCGGAGTGTGTAACCTGAAGCGTATGTAACCAGAGGTACCACTGTATATAAATTTTTATTAGTTTTTCAACATATCATTTTCAACAATAGTTAAACGTACTTTTACATCTTATACAATTTTTTGACTTCCATCAATCACATCTGAAAATTTATCAATCTATTCACTTAATTTACATTTCTTATTTTCACTATTACTTTTAAATCTCATAACTAATATCTCTTTTCTTTCTCTTCTTTGCAATATTTCATATATTTCTCCTTACAAAACTTCTTGTAGTCCTACTAGCGTAATTTGTTGATTACAGTCGCTCTTCAAATAATTCATATATTTCTTCCAATTTTCTGTAAATCTCTGGTCCCGCAGGTTTCTATTCCTTCCTGTCATTTTATCCAATTCTGCGTAGTCCGTTAATTTTTTCTGCCATTCTTTCATCGGTATTTCTTCTTGCTTCCCAGTCCTTCTGCATCTCAGTCTTTAGAGAAATATACATTTCTCGGCACTCCCTCCCACAACATTGATTTCATACTGCCAGAAAATTTGCATTCGATTAATATGAAGTGCCTATGACTAGGAGGTGCTGGCAATATTATATCATTGAGCAGTGGGTCCAATCATGGCACAAAGGAGTTTTACGCCTCGGGCTCCTTTTTCCTCCTGAATAATGTGCCCAATAGGAATATAGATCCTGGATTTATGACATGCAAACTGTGCTAGGATGTAGCCGAGTGCCAAAACTTATTTAAAAACAAAGCAACATGTGGTCTTCCCTCACCGACTATGCTTTGCATACAAATAAGTAGAATCAATGCAGGAGAGGGAGGGCTGGGGGCGAGGGACAGCTTCACATTGCTTTCAGTTCATTAGACTGTGGAAACTACCCAAAACCTTCTCAAAGGAATATGCTCAGTAAGCTCTTTGCATCAGTTCTTAGAATAATTAGAGTGGCTTTGGCTGCAATCCAACGCCTTTCCTGGGAGTAAGGCACATTGAACTTAAAAGGATTTACTTCTGAGTAGACATGCGCAGGATGGTGCTGTCAGTCAGGCAGAGGACTACATTAAATAAAACATCAGGTACAAGTTGTTGACTTCTCTCCCTTAATCACATTCTCTCTAGATTTGAAATGCCAACAAGGCTTTAGATGGCAGAAATAAAGGCAATTTAGTAGTCTCACACTTAGCAGTCTCACACCCTGAAGTAATTGCTGTCAGGGAGCCTTTCTTCATTCTGTTGGAGTGGAGTGTCACTTCAAAGTTGGTCTTCTTTACACCATGCCAGGAGAGACAATGTGCTCCCCTCCAGATGTTGCTAAGGTACATCTCTGATCATCCCTGGTCACTGGCTGATGGGTTCCTACAACCTCTGGAGGCAACTGCCTTCTGGGAGCCCAACAGCAGGTGGAGCCAGAGCAAAATGTCAGGGAGAACCAGCTCATTCTAGTTTTGTCCTCATCCCCTCTGCTGAGTTATAGAATCATAGAATTGTAGAGTTGGAAGGGACCTCCAAAGTCATCTAGTCCAACAATCTGCAATGAAGGAATCTCAGCTAAAGCATCCGTGGCAGATGCTCATTCAATCTCTGCTTATAATATTTTTATTAAATTTTCAACTAACAAAAAAACCCCTACTGGTATCTGAAGAAGTGTGCATGTACACGAAAGCATATACCTAGACCAAACTTAGTTGGTCTCTGTGGCGTTTGCCCTCCTATGTGTGTGACATCATACTGGGCTCATAGGGAAAGGGTTAACCAATTGTAAAATGACTAACCAATGGGAACCCAAGGGGCAGAGTTACCGTATTTTTCGTTCTATAGGACGCACATTTCCCCCTCCAAAAACTAAGGGGAAATGTGTGTGCGTCCTATAGAGCGAATGCAGGCTGCGCCGCTAAGCCCAAAGCCAGAACAGGAAGACGGAGCACTGCAGAGCGCTCCGTCTCGCTGTTCTGGCTTGGGAACAGCCTTGCTAGCTTCTGCAGGACAGCGGGGTGAAGGCACCCCGCTGCCCTGCAGAGGTTTGTGCGCAGCCATCCCCAGCTAGAGCAGCGAGCGGGCCTCCGTCCGCTGTTCTGGCTGGAACAGCCTGCTAGCTCTGCAGGACAGCGGGTGAAGGCACCCGCTGCCCTGCAGAGTCTGCGCAGCCGTCCCAGCTAGAGCAGCGACGGAGCCCTCCGTCTCGCTGTTCTGGCTTAGGAACAGCCTGCTAGCTTCTGCAGGACAGCGGGTGAAGGCACCCCGCTGCCCTGCAGAGGCTTGCGCGCAGCCGTCTGCTCTAGCTTGGGGAGGGCTGCGCGCAAACCTCTGCAGGGCAGCGGGGTGCCTTCACCCCGCTGTCCTGCAGAAGCTAGCAGGCTGTTCCTAGCCAGAACAGCGAGATGGAGGGCTCCGCCTCGCTGCTCTAGCTTGGGGAGGGCTGCGCGCAAACCTCTGCAGGGCAGCGGGGTGCCTTCACCCCGCTGTCCTGCAGAAGCTAGCAGGCTGTTCCCAGCCAGAACAGCGAGACGGAGGGCTCCGTCTCGCTGCTCTAGCTTGGGGGCTGCGTGCAAACCTCTGCAGGGCAGCGGGGTGCCTTCACCCCGCTGTCCTGCAGAAGCTAGCAGGCTGTTCCCAAGCCAGAACAGCGAGACGGAGGGCTCCGTCTCGCTGCTCTAGCTTGGGGACGGCTGCGCGCAAACCTCTGCAGGGCAGCGGGGCGCTGCGCTCCAAAGGCTTCAGGGCTCTTTGAGGCTGGCGGTGGGGGAAAGCAGCGCTTCCCCCACCGCCAGCCCCACAAGCTCTGGTGAATGTACCTTGAACGCACCTTGTTTTGGAGGGGGAGAACAAGAAAAAAAATCTTTTTCCCTGTTCTCCCCCTCCTATGATCCGGTGCGTCCTATGGTCCGGTGCGTCCAATGGAGTGAAAAATACGGTAACTGTGTATAAGGTTTAAGCACAGAGGGCTTTTTGGAGGAGTTAGGAGTTAGGGTGGTTGAGAAGACAGTTTGGAGTTAGAAGAGACAGAGAGGATAGGTCTGTGAGTTGGGCTAGTCTGATGTGAGAGAGTGAGAGAATTTGTTAAGAGAAGTCAGTCAAACAGTGGAGATAATCAGTCAGAAGGTATTAGGAAGGTATAGTCTGGTAAAGAAACTAAAGTTAAGATACTGACAGGAATATTATTTAAGAAGCCATAAACTTGTTAATGTTTGTAAAATAAACTTGGGGTTTTTTGGTTCCTTTTTAACAACTGACTGGACTCAGTGTTTTACCAGAGAGTAACTGGTTGGTGGCAGCGGGGAAACGAGCACGGTGGTGGCACAGGGATCAATAGACCGTTAAACGTCTGGGGACCCTGTGTGATCACCACAGTCTCTTAGATGCTACTGGACTAATCTTTTAACATGGCTACCTACCTGACTCTAAAAAATACACAATAACTAATACAAAAAACCACAAACAAAGAAAAATATACACAAAACGAATGTCAGTTCAATCTCTGCTTAAATCCACCCTCCTTCTGCTCCCTGCCATACCCCCAGAATCCTTCTTTGGGGGGATTTTTTACTGGCCTCAGCTGAACCAGCTTCAACTCAACCAGCTGAGCCCTGGTTGAGTTGGGCTGAAAAGTTATGCTTGAGTATCTTTAGCTGAGCCAGGGCTGGGGACTTAATTCTGGCTTAGTCTGAGCCAGAGATCTGCTGTTTCCTAAGTTGCTCATCCGGGAAGATCTTGACATAGGAATCCCCTACCCAAAAGAGATACATTGCTTTCAATACCACTTGCTGTGCCCTACCTGTGCATCTAAGAGCTCTGTCTTTGAGCATCAGACTGGGGGAAGAGATATTTAATGCACAAAGGAGTAGTGCTCAAGGCATGTTTTCCAGACCTTCTTTAGTATTCAGGAGAGACTCTAATTATTGCTGCCCGAGGGAATTCTCTGTAGGAAACTTCCAGTTTGCTTTTATGCATTGCTCCTGTTGTGGCATGATTTAGATGGCACAGCCAAATGAGATGCAGCATTCAACGAATAACCTCCTTTACACTGGGTTCCAAGCCATATAATAATATTTTTTTCAGGGAAATATACATATGTGCGGGCTTGTCCACATTTCTGCTTGTTCCCTGCCTAGAAAGCACAGGTCAGAGTGGTTTTCCACTTCACCCTCAATTTCGAGGCATGTGTCCGAGCAGTTTCCCCCTTGGTCCCCTCCTTTACAAGGGAAAACCTGCTCTTTAGTGATAAATCGCAACAAATGTCAATCCAGGGGAAACCCAAATTGCTGTTTGCTCCAATGGAGCACTAAAGAGCGGTTTTCCCTGGGGAGAAAGGACAAAGAGGAAGTGTGTCCTTCTGTTTTCAAAATGAAACCATTCATGCACAAAATCTCAGTACACACACACACACACACACACATACACACACAAGAAGTTAAGAGAACACCCTATGGAAACTTCCATGGGTCAGTGCATGCTTCCATGGGACAGACTGTTTGGGGTTGAGGGAGTGAAAACAATGGGGTGAAATTGGAAGATACTGTTTTGGAGAGGGGCTTGGTGAGCTGGCTGGATATGTTTACGTGTGTGTGTGTGTGTGTGTGTGTGTGTGTGAAAATAAGAAACCCAGAAGGAGTAACTGTAGAAGTTAAGGTTTTTGAAAAGCCAGTTTCAATGCCCGCTTCTATCTGGAACTGCTGATTATGCCGAGTTGAGGAGAATTGATAGCTAGCTGTATCAAAGCGAAGGCAGCCTTTGTAAGTTCTGAAGCAAGGCAGATACATCCTGCCAATTTATTGAGAACTATGAAGCTTGACTGCAATAGGTGCCTGGGGGACTTGGATAGAGG